AATGGGGGGGGGGGGTCACCTAAAATTTTCCAGAAGAGTGTATCATCACTTAGCTCGCTCTAAATCAAGCAGAACGAAATTACAGTGTCACCAAACTCAAATACCTCGCGGTCATCTGCGGATACGAGATCTATTTGAAGGATTATTCATTCACTATCGTCATTAACTATCAATTTCTTAGGTAATTGCAAAAGTCGGGAGACGTTGGGCCTTCGAATTATAGCAATATAACTTCAATATCAAGTATTATATATAAACTTGAATCTTTCGTGATCGATGCCTTCTTCTGTTAACCCGCCATTTCACTCGCTGATTTCATTATGTTGCGCATGGTACCTTAGCATGATGCAAATCTTACGAAATACACGAGATTTCAGATTTTAACATTAAGGGAGCAACTGTATTAACATATCTTTCACAATTTGGATTTTAAGAAGGCCCCACCGGAAGGGCAGTGGAAGAAATGCGTTTATAAGAAGAGTGATGTTTTGAGATACTGTATCTGAACAATGACGATCTAACGACGGGATCGCCGACTCGAGAATCATTAAGACTATTACTGGAATAGCACAAAATTATATTATTAACCTGGTGTATTCCACAATATTATCTGATACGTTCTAAGCTATCCTAACTAATTGGAATTTTTTACTCGACCGCTGTGAACACTTTTTTTTAGTCCCACCCTCTGTAGTGATCTTCGGAACTGCATAAATGTGACAACAAAAGTCAATTCCTTTTACACACACACACTCGGCAAGACGGTACCTTATATCCAGACCAGAAGGGCCTGGCAGAAGTTCAAGACCATTTTCCTTATACTTATCTTAGAATATAAAAATCCATGGGACTCGAGAGCATTTCCACCCCAGAGAAAGGACGTGCTATCAGGTCCAATTCTAATTAATCCCCACGTTCTCTTTTAGTGTATATGTATGCGCGCGTGCATGTAGGGACGTACTCTTATGTTAGACTTGCTTGACGGGAAGGAAAAGAGAGACATTGTTACTCTACATCACAAACTCTTCATCCATAAAACTTCTGAGAGGGAGTATCCGCGTGTCCCGCTCTCTGCAGGGAGCACTCTGCGAAGGCTTGTTGGATTCTTTCGTTTTATTAAGGATACGACTGACACCTGCGAGAAAAAGTTCGCGTGCAAATCCTCTTTCCACTTGATAATAAAAACTTCATCGGACGAAATCATCAGAGCTCCCTCCATCGCAGCCGCAGTCTTCATCGAGCTTTTACAACTCGAGGGAAGCTGATTATCTCCGAAACGAAAGCAGGTCCCAAAAGCAAGTCACAGAAGGCCGTTCCAAAGAGTTCACCAGAATCAGCTTCCACCTGACAGTCCTCATTCAATCCCGACTTGCAACCGGCAAAGGTCATGAATCATGTAAGAAAATAGAATTGCCATTGCGAGGGAAAGAAATCCGTGAGCTTTTCTTGAACGATTACAGCGAAATGAATACGGATACATCAACTCAATGGCATTTTCTGCTAGGGCTACCTGAAATGCTAAAAGGCAACGCACTTTTGTAGTCGCATTATGTATTTGATCGTGTTATTTATTTTGCATTTGTCGCATCCCGTGCGGATTCTAAAGAAAACTTTTTTTTTGCAATTAGAAATTGGCGTTAAACTTGATTCTGAAATTAAATATAAACAGAATATATGAGCTACATCTCTAAATAAACGATGTGGGCAATCGAATTTCATTTGAATAAATGCTAGCGCCTAAACTGTCACCGTCATCAATGATAAACAAGCTGCTGAAAGTAGAAACATTCTACTTTAGTTTGTACACGTTTATCTTGTATCACTACAAAAGTTGTTATTGATATTTGAAACCGTCATATTACACATGTTTTATATATTAACGAAAAGAAAAATTTATTTTTCGTGAAGACTGTATTTCACGGCTATTTTTATAAATTATTTCATTAAGATAACAGAGACGTGTAACATACACATATACACATACACACATACATGTAATCAACACATCTCTTCTCAGTTTACAGATTCTGTTTACATAATTTAATATGAGAATCTATTTTTAAAAACGTTCTTGATGCAATCATTTTCATATATCTCACAATTTTTATCATTTGTCACGAGAAAGTAAAATACGTATGAACATAACTTTCTCCATGTTATATCGCGTAAATATTTTCATATTGCGTCTTTGATAAAATTGTTGTTATTAATTCAACATTGGATAATAAATATTTTACTCAAAAATTGACTGGTGATATAGACATTATAGACGCATCTATACATTTTATAAATCTTCGTTGGTCATTCCATTACGTTGGAAAATGCGAGATTTTCTTAAAAAGATTGGTATAAATTTGAACGAGAGAGAGAAGAGTTAATTGCGAAAACGATAAAAATTCTTATAGAAATGTTCTTAATGGTGCAAGCGATATTGTAAGTGTAAACGATAAAATCGATCCAATTTAGATTATATGAAAAATTTATATTTTATCAGTAAACGCGAGAAATTGTATAAAAATCAACGTATTTAATCAGTGTATTTAAAAATCGTATAAAAATCAATGTATTAAGTCAGTGTATTTAATTAAAATTATTGACGATTAAATTCGTGAATTTATTTTATCAATTCAATTTACCAAATTATTAAATTCAATAATGCCTATTAGTTTGCTCGATAAATATTCTGGTATCGTTATTGGCTCACTAAAAATATTGTTCACAATTTTTATCCAATATTCATTCGAGTGTTCAATAAAATCACACACATACTGGACATAAACAGGCTATGTATTTCGGAATACGTACGAGAAACGCGTCACGTTGTGGTCCTTCATCATGAACTTCTTAATATCGAGAATTTCTCGTCTCGACATATTTCGATTCTCTTTTTTTGTAGATAAATCAAATGCGTGAAAATCATTCTGTGTAAAGAAAAGGAGGACTTATAAAATACAGCGTTCGTAAATTACGACACTTCCGTGCTACAGCGATTTTTTGACGAGCAGATAGCACCGAGAAATCAATTTCCGTATTTGAAGTTTCTTCCACATTAGTATCTATCTATAGTGCACCAAAATTGCATTTCACTATCGCGCGACTCTACGAAATCACCGTCCATCTAAATCACCGTTTGCACTAATTGATGACAGACCTCCGATAATCCAACGTATTCTTATCTAGATTTCATTGCACTTAATCTCGATTCTCAACGTCACTAGTCACCAGTGACAGCACAACTCATTCGAGTATCATCACATTAATCACAAGATCCGGCGAGTGGATAAGTCTGAAAGGCCAGCTTTCCCGGCTTATCGCAATAAAAAGTTCTCCGGAGTTACAACAATGGCGACGGTACTTTAAACCTGCGTCAACAGAGTTAATTGTGCACCATTCTTATTTAAATCTTTGTTCCTTTGTGCTAAATCCCTGTGATCGCTACTGACTGTGATATTCGACCTTGACGTCATTGTAACCGTGGTGGTGGAGGTCTTGCTAAGAAGCCCTCTCTCCGCTTCCTCGTCATCGAGATCTATTCTAGATGATCCAGCTGCGATCAATCGATCAGCTTGTAATCTGTCAGCATTAGCTTTTCTTCGTGGAAATACACTGTTTTCATTGTGCAAGGTTGCGTTAACATCCTTTCCGGCAGCGCAAGTACACGCCTTCAGGAAACTTTTTTTAAAATTATCACTTAGAAATGCATATAGAATTGGATTCATAGCACTATTGCTATAACTAAGGAAACCAGCTAGCAGAAAGCTTGCAATGCTTATGCTGGATTGGCACTGTTTTGGTGGAGTATATATCAGAGCTACTTGGGTGACCCAATAGGGTAACCAACAAAAGACATATACAGTGATCACTGTTAAGACCAGCCTAGTGACCTTTCGATGCGACCGTTTCTTCTCCTTCGATTTATTCTTTGGACCTACTGTCCGCAGTTTTCTGATTACCAGGCAGTAGAAAATCAGTATGAGTACCAGGGGTATGGCGAAGCCTAGGATAAGCGTGTAAAGGGTGAAAGTTGTCTGGCCGCCGTGATCATGAGGCCAATAAATGTTGCAACTGACAATTCCATCTGTGTATTCCATGGTATTTGCGTACAGAAATATTGGTATCATAAAGAGAGCGCTAGTGAGCCAGGCGGTAAGCGAAACTATTTTGGAGATGAAAGGCGTGCGCATCTTCGGGGATGAAATTGGGTGGCACACGGCGATGTAGCGATCGGCGCTCATGATGAACAGAAAGATGCTGCTGGTAAACTGATTGATGCTCGTCGTGATCATGTACGCTTTGCACATGATGTTACCAAAAATCCAACTACGCAAACTGATGGTCGTCACTAAGAACGGTATACCGATTAAGAAGCACTCGTCCGCTATTGCCAAATTTACAATGTACATATTTGTAACAGTTTGCATCTTCGAGAAGCGTAGGACAACATAAATGACGAGAGTATTTCCGAGGAGTCCGATGATGCAAACAATGGAGTAGAGAATCTGATTAACTAAAGCGATAATCGGCAACTTGGCCTCACAATTTAGGACTGTGTTGTTGTACGTTAAGTTGTCGTAAGTGTAATTATATATATTATCCATTGTATCTCTTGTGTCGACTTTGAATGTAGAATCTGAAACACACACAAAAAAATGCAATTAGTAAAAATATGATATATTGCGATAATAAATTGCTTAAAAGATAATTAACATTTTGATTATATTCAAAAACAATAATTTATTTATATTAGAAATTGCGAATATATGACAAAAAAATCATCATTATGTACTCAATGTTCCCGCGATTTAATACAATTTGTCTGCAATCAGAAACAAATGAATCGGGAATGTAGCTCAGGATACTATTTCATCAATATATGCGACTCGTGAAATTATTGTAAAAGCAATATAACGGTGCCGTTGGAAACAATGTGATAATATACTGGTTCCCGTGAAAATAATCTTACTAGTAGAAGCCGTCGTGTGTCCGGACAACGGCTTGGAGAATTTTATCGACGATACGAGAGTGAAACAGAGGAAACAATCGAGAGAGGACCTTTGTGCCGAAGCGTGTTGACCCATGAAAATCTCTACTGCAACTTGAAAGATACACTCGATACGACAAACCGTAAGTTTCTCGTCACATTACACAAATAAAAGGTATGGCTGGCAAGCCGGCTAAATCGTTTTCGAATTTGGAAAATTGGAACTTGATAGAGATAAGAGTGTGAAGCGTTAGGTACAAATTGTTTAAGTATAAAACAATATGTTCTATGTAACTCCACGATAAGATCAATTTTTCATTTAGAAGGAAATAATTAAATGCTTGCAAGAAAAAGAGATTGAAAATATTAATATTAATAATTATCAAGATTCAGCGTTTTTAATCCGACTATACCCGATCTCTTATTCTAACGCTTTTACTTTCTTCTTTTTTTAAAAACTCGCTCGCATACGCACTCAGAACTTTTAAACTCACACATTCACATTGCATTCATTCATACTGCTTATATTAATAAGATTTTAAATTTATAGTAACGTTAAGTAACTGTAGGATAAGCTCTTTGCAACGAATTTACGACAGTCATATTCTCGATGATTTATTTACGAAGAGAAGAGCAAGATTCAAATCGTCAAATAGCTGTTTGAAATAACCATCGAGTAAAACGAAAGTTTCCTGTAAAAATAGTTTGTAAAATCACACGCAAATAGGGCATTTTATCTTCGAAATGGGACATAAGCCAACCGCGAAATAGCTTATTCAAGAGAATTCACGTCGCAATTCATTATAATGAGCGAATATAAATCAGAACAGTTTCCTCTTCACTTTCCTAAAGAACAGTACGTAAATTTTACGAGTTGATAAAAGTTTCGAGTGCCTTAGTTATCGGATCAACCATACCGATTTGTTAGGAATACTGTTTGATAGGATACATGTAACGTGATGTTTACTGATTTACTGATATTGCAATCTAAATCCTAGGAATATCAGAAATAAACGTGCTATCGCTATGATGTTTACATGTTATGCATGATGTTTATATATATGTTACAGACATTACATTTCGTTATTATGAAAAATAGGGGATAGGGGATATTCAATGTAAAATCGCAAATACGGTAAAAAAAGACCACACTCTGCTCAACATGTTGGAATAAAAGGAAAACTCGTTGTCTCGAGAAAATCGTTAGAATCTTCTTTGTACCGTAATAAATTCTAATCGATGCATCATTAACCGGCATTGACATGTATGTATATGTGTCAAAACCTTTTGCTGTTGTTTTCTTTTCTTTTATATGATAGATTTTTTTCTAGCAACGTTTCTGTTTTGAAAGCCTCCATTAGAAAGCACGAATTCGGTTGACAATATAAAATATTTTTTCTCCATATTATGCACAATATTTGGGTAGTATGTATGATTTAAGATTAGAATTTGTTATTACAATTGAATAATTATATTTCATAAAGATATAAAAATTTATGCAGTAAAACTTCGCGCAATATTTTCCACCTTGTAGAGATATACTTCCAAATATTACTTTGGATGAAGTCAACATAAAAAGGATCAGACTTTTTACGTAGTCGCGAATCAGTTCGCGTATTTGTGAAGAGCGCGCGAAAAACACATTTTCTTTGCAAATATTGCGTTCGTAATATTCCTCGTTTTAGTTCCTCTACCCATCGACAAGTCCGACAAACATCGAAAATGAAATCCAAAATGAGAACAGGATGTGAATTAATATAGTCAAATATACGTAGTCAAGTATATGCATATATACATACGATTTCATGTATATGGCCGTACAGTTCGTATTATTAAGATATGTAGATCTCTGTGAAACTTTATTTATTGACCCGCGGCACAATGGAACCTGAGCGGGACTAACTTTTCAATTTGAATTTCGAATTTCGATTAAAGTTTCCGTAATTGCGAAGCTCATCCTGCTCTTTCGGTAGGAAAAAAAAGTTGCACATCCGCGATCAAGGATTGACGTGGAACTAATTGGTTTTTTTCAATATCTCCCAAGTTAAAGATGAGCATCGAAGCAGCGTTTATCGTTTGATCACTTAAATGAATAGAGTGTCATAGGAGCTTATTCTTAAAAGAATGATTTCTCAAGTTTTTTTAATGGAACAATATTCTGGAATTATAAGGGATTAATTTAGATTTAATTTAATAAGATATTGTTCCTTCTTCCCTTTTTTACTGTCAAGTTTCGCATTTTTTAATTAAGCATTCACGATTTTCTGTCGATTGCGTGATAGTCGAACGTTTTACTGATACGCTAACATAATCTCCGCGCTCGAATCAGCTTATAACACTTTACCGGGCATGACGCGTTAATGTTTTTTCAGCTCTCTGCTACTTTTAATCAATTATTTGCCGCATGAAAGAGGATCATGGGTACGAGGCGGATATATAAAAGCTGCAAATTGCTTTTAGCCTCTGCTCTCGTGTTCGCGCCTCGATGTATGTACCCCTGACGCGAGCGGTATTACGCCGGTTAAAATCGTACGAGTGGCGGTCGGAGGGGAGTATAAAATGGAAAAAAAAGAAGGTCCTTCGATAACGCGCGTATTGACGTGGTGGACCGAGACGCGACCGAGCAGGGTCTGCCGCACTTCGCGGATTTCATTCCAATAGTGCGCGAGCGCGCCAGTTGGCTGTCGTGAATCGCAAATGTTTGTTCGATTTCAATCGCTGAGCTCGGCAAATACATCTAGACTGTTTTCCGCCGGCATTTTTAGGGGAGAGATGAACGTGCGGGAAAATACGGGAGAATGCAGGAAGTAACACGTAGATTAACAGGGCTTATACGTAACGTAAGAGTGTCAAGGGAGGCAGGGAAAAGGAGGTACACAGCGGGAGAAACTAATTACCTCCTTATACCCGAGTATGGCGAACCCTAAAAGGAGAAACTCGATCAGGCGAATGCGCAGGATATCTCGTACTTGGGTATACACGATCCTTGAGGTGATCGAGTAGATAGACTATTTCCAGCGAGACATAAATTTTCTTATGCAATTAATCGTAAATGAGATCTATTGCGCGAAGATTCATGGCAAGGATTCATTTTCATGCAAAACGCAATAAGAAGCAAAGAAAAAAAATATTAACAAGGACAAATACCATAGAGTTACGGAAAGTAATTTTGCTTACCCTCTATATATTATTTACTTAACGTACGTAAAAGTATCATTTAATTAATTTTGCTCATTCATTTAATCAAAATATAGATAATTTGTTGTAATGATTTACATAATTGATGATATAATATTCCAATATCCGCGTTGTAAATCTTTCAGCACTTATTGGGAAAATTTGTGTTTCTATAATGTATAGATTTATGTTATTCGTAATTATATTACTTTGATTATGTACACGTTGCTTCGTCAGAGCGCTACCGAAGTTTCCGTATTTAAACAATATGTATATTGATAAATGATTAATACATAATTTAATATATAAATGTTAGATTTGTTGCGTATCGTACATATGAAAATAACGAACCTGCGTGAATTTGACTTCAAGTGTATGTAATATTGACAAATAATCGATTGCTCGAGTTTTCTCTATTATGTCTCTAATATCAGTCCCGCATATTAACACTTTGAGTGAGAATCCTGCAATTAATGCGTAACCCAATTTGCAAGCCCGCCTTTGCGCGCGTATCAAGAGATTCGCGCGTTTGGGAAATTTTCGTAAAATTGCGAGAAACTGATTTATTTCGAATAATCAATACACAATATGATAATGCACTGCGGTCGTTCGGAAGCGATGTTGCGCAAACAATCAAATCCGTCGTATCGCATCTATCAAGATAAGATCCGGACGCATGTCGACTGCAGAATAAACGAATAAAGCAAAATTAATGACCCTTCTTTACGTGCGATCGAGTGAACTCGATCAACGCTAAGAGAAACAAATCACGGACGGACATTCAAAGTGCAAGCAACGCTACTGCGCATGCAACATAACACGTAGTTATTTATTCCGAAGACTGTGATTTAGCCTGATTAATTTCTTTTTTTTTTTTTAACAACGAAAAGGTGGTCCACTCTATATTTCTCCAACATTTTGTGAAAATATTTTTTTTCCAATTCCTTTTCGTTTCAACATCCACGCGTGTGTGTATTCTGTTTAGGATACTTTGTAAAGTAGCAGGAAACACACGCCTTTACCTTGTCATCACGTCTATGTTTATACTACAGAGAAGGTACGATCGTACGAGAAGGTTGGGATCGTGTACGTATCAAAGGCTGCTGGGAATCTACAAAGTAACCAAAATAAACTGTATCTCTGTTTAGTTGCGAGCAAAAACTTAAAAGAAGCGTCCAAAAATCAAACTGATTAGTATAAACATTAATTTTTCTTTCTGATTATCACATTCTTAGTATACGTTCTCGCATATCGAATACATTTACTTTAAAATGTAAAATATAAAATTCTATAAAATTCTTATAAAATTTATAAAATTTTTATTTATATATATACATTAAACATTAACATGATAACATTGTTATTAACATTATTATTATTGATGACTACTTTTTATTATTATTGACTACTTCAAATTAAAAATCTAATAGTTTCATATTCATCATAATTTTATTATTAATTTTATTTTTATG